AGACAAACATTTGAAAATGGAAATAGTGCGTTTTAGATGCCATTTACTTTTACAGGTGACCTGTAATGTATAATCTTAGAGAACTTGGAATCTTTTTTTTCAGTTGATACCACAAAATTGTATAATTAAACGGAAATAATCAAACATCTGAAGATCAGTGATAGGCGATTAGTTATAGGCGAACTGAGTATCAGTTTGAGTAAGACTCTTCCAATCTTTGGCTATATGGTCAGGTTTCTGTTAACTTTGTGAAACTGTACTAGCAACTAGAAACCACATGAGTAGGAGGTGCCTAGTATGATTTAGAATCATAGAAACGTTGGTTGGAAGTGACTTCTGAAGGTCTGTAGCTCAGCCTCCCAGTTCTAGCAGAACTATTGCCAACACAGGATTAAATCAGTGATGGCTTTGGCTGGCTCCCTGGACAAAGATCCCCCAGCCTCTTTGGATTACATGTTCCAGAGCTAGACTACCTGCCCAGTGAAAAAGTTTTTCTTTGTATACAAACTGCACCTCCCAAGCTACAATTGCGGCTGTTGCTTCTGTTATATTTTCTGGCACTACCAAGAAGAATTTGGCTCTGTAGTTCCAGAATTGTTTCTTGTTTCAAGTCAGGTGAAGAAATAAAATGACATCTTTCTCTCAACTTTATTGCTTCTAGTCCCATTTCTATCTATGAGAGGAGGGGGGAAAAAAAATGAGAAAAAAATGAAGCAATTACAGTTTGGTGCCAGACATGGAATCAGTTCTTCGTTTTATCTGAACTTGCTAACACTTATGCAATAGCTCTCTTGTTTCTGTAAGGTACATAAGTATTCAGTGTGGAACTGAAGATTATACATTGCTCATAGCAATATTTATTGACCAGGGCTCATCCAAATTGAAACTTGGGTCCTGCAACTGACATCCAGCTAGAAGTACTACAGACATATTGATTTATCTGCTGTATTTCTACGTTCTTGCTTCTAGATCAGATTCCTGACTTCAGTTCATACTGGATGATTGTAGACATCCAATCCCTGAATGAATGTTCTTTGCTGCTTAAATTATAGCCATTGTATCACAATCCTTTAAGATACAGCACTATAATGTGTGAGATATAAATGACAGATAACATAGTGTAGGATATTTAAAGTGATTTGAGCCTCTAATAAATCGTGTCTATCCTATTGATTTCTGAACTCTTGCTATAACTAGTCATGCACCTATTTTGTATGCAGGTCATCCTAAAAAAAATCCAAATGGTCGTTCCTTTAGGTCAGCTACCATTACATAGAAGCATATTGTTAAACCATGCAAATACTTTGCCTGAAAAGTGGCTGAATATGACTTTTAATCAGCTGTTAACTCTTAAATTGAGTAAATTAGACACTTCAAGTTAGATTCTTAAAGTAGATTTAAAATTATTTGGCAAGTGGATGCGCATCCTAAGGAGTATTCTTCCAGGATTTTCTATTGCATTTTACAATTTGTGTTGTTAACACGTATATGATAAATAGGGTCAGACATTTTGATAATTTGATGAGTAATATCTGCTCGGGAAGGCTTTAATGTTTAATTTAAAAAATATTTTAACATTTAAGAAGAAAAGTGCATAAAATAAAGTGACTCAACCAAAACATCATTGTAATATAACATAATTGTAATGTTCGGGGCCAGATTTTCAGTTAACATAAACTTAGTGATTTTCCCTGCCTTTGGCTAACCATTCCATGTATAGGTACAAATACAAACTTCTGAGTTTGGTGTTAGGTGGAAATATCAGACTAGTTTTGGACCAGATGTTAGGTGGAAATATCAGACTAGTTTTGGACCTTGAACTGTGTCAGGATGATACTGTCCCTTTTTTCCCAGCTGATGATAAACAGAGAACCTTGTTGGAATGTTATTTTTTTCCCCTGTAAGAAATGGAAATAATTGGGTTTTCCTTCTTGCCCTCTAATGATGGGGATATAAATGGTGCCCAGATGGTGGTTGAACTGACTCATTTAATTTCCATGTTAGTAGCAGTACCCAGTGAAATCCCCGAGCCTTGGTGATGATGAGCTTCCATCACTGTTCTCCTTAAGCAGCTTGGCTAGGGACTTAAAGCCCATTGCTTATAAGACATTCAGAAAATGCATTGAGAAATTATTCAAATGGAATTTGATGTCTCATTTTCAGAAGTAAAACTAACCTCCTTACATAAGGCATGGAGTTTTAAAAAGCAACAGCAGAGCAATAAACCATAAGAAAGGAGGGTCTGCTTATCAATGAATTCAAATGATAAAATTAAATGTGAAAGCAGAAAGGCTGTAACTGTTGTTGGTGCAAATTAATGTTAAAATCTGATTAAAGTTTAGATTGAAAACCAGGCATATGGCTGCTAAGTAAGTTGTTCTAAAATGAATTACTTTTGCCTATGGCTATTCTCACACCTCAAAACAAAGTAATACTTCTTGATGATCTCAATAAGTTACTAAACTGCCCTTAAAACTAATTTTGCATGAAACCCCAGAGCAAAGTCTTGGCAATATTAAGATGCAGAATTTTCATGGCAAGGCATATACTTATGAGTGCCCTGGGCTGTATGCTCTCATTTGCTATGCATCATAAAATCAGCAAGCACCCCTTTGTCAGGCGCAGTGCTAGAGCCACGCATGGAGCACTGCAAAAGTAGGTAAAGTTCTTCCGCTTAATTCTGGAACTTTTATGGTTTGGGGTTTTTTTCTACTTGTGTCTCTGTTTGTGCCTGGACTTCTTTCTTAGCAAGCATTTCATTTCTTTCTTTTTTTTAAAAAGCTCAGTCTTGCTCAAGTGAAACTTCTGTGAAGTTATTGTATTTTGTTGGAAATGAAACTTCAACTGTGCAAAATTTTGGAGATGTTTCCATTCAGTGTTTCATTTCATTTCCATTAACGAGAAAGTGAATTATATTTATATTCAGTCTGAATTTGAGCACTGAGTTTTACCCAAGATCGGGAGAGTTGATGCCCTGAGGCCAGAGTTTGGACTCTAGCTCGGGTTGACTTAGTATTTCCATTCTGTGAGAATCCCAACTGGAATACTTGCCATCCACCCTTTGGATTGCTGTTTTTTATGACATCTGGGTGCCAGTCAAAGATTAGGGCCCTATGAGTCTAGACTGTATGATCACATAACACAGAGCGACACTGCCATCGCAGTTCACATTCCTGTGCTTCCCCAGAGCAGCAGCTCCAAAAAGCAAGTCGTGCCGCACAACTACTGATATGTTGCACCTTACTGAGCTGCTTCTAGTTGCTGGAGGTTCTTGCAGTGTTGTGAGCCCTTTCCTCTCTCACTGGTTTCATTGAACGCTCCACAACATGCTGGACGGAGGCCTCGCGGCCCAGTCTCCCATGGACTGGGATCGGGGATTTTGATTGATTAAATTGCACAATGAAGAAGCAAAGATACAGCACACGATGAAGTGTACTTATTTAATTTCTACAAAAGCTGTAGCAAAGTTTTTAAAACTTAGTGCTTCATAGTACATAGTACAATAGTACACTAGTATCTAGTGCTGTTCTATAGTTAAAAATAACAAAATCCTGATGAAATGAGACCTCCTTCCAGTTCTGTTTTCATCTTTGCAGAGAAGTGTGAAGAAGCGTTGTTTTTAATATGTAGATGACAAGGTTTGGGATTCACAGATAAGCAAAGTGTGAACTCTTAAAGGTTAACTCTGTACGCACATATTAGAAATTGGCCCAAGTCATGAAGTTTACATCTGTTACGGGATCTAAATACAAATTTCACCAAAGCTTAGAAATATTCAAATGTGATCATATGCATAGTTAACAGATCTGTGCCTCTAAGCAGTAATTTGGCTGCGAGTCTGGAAAATTCCAATAGTTTGGAGGATTAACATCTTTTACCCTGGCAAGCATTTGAAAACATTATTTAGTTCAACATGCAAATGCACATCTCAGATTATATATTAATCATGATCATGTATAGTTTATCCTCTTTATCCCTTTCACTGTTGAAAATTATATTAAATAAGATACATACCAATTCCTGCTTGACCTACAATCCAGGAAAGTCGAATAAAAAGCATCACACCCCAAATATTAAGCATACATCTTACCTAGGTTTTAAACAAAAAATACTGCATTAGTGCAATGTTGAAAGTAGTATTAACAACCAGAAGGGTGATAGTGTGCATTACAGGCTTTTAAAAAGCACGCCAAACATCCCTCAAGTCCGCCTCCCTCTCTTACTTCTGAAAGACCCTAGTGTTGCAGAACTTATCTTAAAAGATTATTTTCTTTGAATTTTTTTAGAAATGCAGATAAGTTTCTCACCAGCACACCCTTCACCCATCCGAACTTGACAAGTCCTGTTTTGCTTTCTTCTTCCTTGCTGGCTGCTGTCTCATCTCCAGCGGTGCTTTCTCCATTAGCCACTCTCTCGACTGAGCCGGGGCTCACGGCTATGTTCTGAAGGATCACACAGAAAACAAATACATTTTTGTGCCAAGCAGAAGACACCTGGCTGCATAAGAGAGACGTGGAATAAAGGAATTCCAAAGAAGATCAGGTTTTACTGTCTCTGGAGTAGAGTGCAATATTCTGCTCGCACCAGGCATCAGCAGGTGGGCTTGCTAACAGCGAGCAAACATGAAAGAATCACTTAAGCAGAGTAAATATATTATTATCTGATGCCAAATTGTTTTTATTGTAAACTGTATTCAACATACATGTTGTGCTGATATGTTATTAGAGAATCTAACATAATGAGGGTCTCGTGGTTGGCCTCTACGTGCTGCTGCAACAATTTATGAATAATGTTAACTGTAGAAACAGGGATAATTGCTCGCTAGTGAAAAGAGACCTAGCTGAGTGCTGCATGGCAAAGTTATGTGATGAACTCTGGTGTTTTCTGTTGGATAAAGTACAAACATAATTGCAGCAAATGGGTAACATTCTTGAAAGCAGTCAGAGAAATACCAGTGAAATGGAATAAATAATGCTGTAAATGAGAAATCCTTTCTGTCGTTTAGCCACCTCTGGTAAAACCATAGAAGGTAGGATTAGGAATTGCCATATTTGTGATGTAAACAGCATAAATAGCCCAGAATTTTAGATTGTTCAAATCCAGTTAGACATAAATCTGTATTTTCTCTCTTCAGCTCTTCTGTCCCAGAATCTTTGAGGTGATTTAACATCGTGATATGTTTCCTGTGGCTTGAATTGGAATTAGTCACGGTACTGAAGTTCATACTCGTCATTGCTGCTTTGTTTCTTTTAATTTTATTTTATTTTTAATATAAAATTCTGACTGGTTTTGCAAGGAGTTGGCATTAGGTTAACTATTGCCACATATTGTCTGGGTCCTCTACAAAGACCTTCAGGAAGGACCGTGTACCTTGCCGTAGACTGGCAGAGGGTCAGGAGTGTTTGTCACCTTCTGGAGAGGAATCAATATGCTTTGAGGATTTGGAGGGGGGTGAAGGTATTTCCAGATTAACTAAACAGGTCAAGGAGAGGAAACATCTGTGTTTCTGTGAAACATATGAAGTTTTTTCATCTTGCTTAAGCTTCAAGGCTGTTTCTGTATTTTGTCTGTGGACTCAAAAAAACCAACCAAACAAAACCAGACATAAAGACCAACTGTATATGATGCTTATGCTAATGTTTGGACTCTCCCCTCATGACTGGGGGCTGTAGCCACTATGATGCAAGGTTGTGGAATGCCTTTGACACAATAAATCCAGGTTTGTGCTCACAAATGAGAAGTTAGTGACTGGATAATACATTTTGACATGGATTAAACTTGGTGCCTATGGCCCTTTTGCCCCTAAGTGAAATGGGAATACAAGACCTATTGAAAGCCTGTGACTTTGAGCTCCTGAGTTACTTGGATAATTTTGACAATTCTTACCCTAAAATAATAATGGATGTGTTTGCTCAAAATACAGTAAATGATTAAATTGAGTTAAGGAAGATTAGCAGAATAATATAAGGGTTTTTTGCTAGAGTGGTTAGAATTTCAAAGAAAAAAAAAGGTTTGGTCTTTGTACTTGAAACAAGTTGTTTCCTATGTACTTTGAATTAATTTGTGCTCTCTATGCTATTATCATAAATTATGGCCTTAAACCTTCCATAAATGCATTTTAAATTGGTGTGCTTTAGTGAATGATTGGTTATTTACCAAGCAGCTGTACCTGTGCTACTCATGCGCTACTCATGCATTAAGGATGTGGAATAAAAATGACAGAGCATTTTTAAAAGCTACCAGAATGAAAAGTTAGCTGTTTTTAAAAAAAAAACAACATTTCCTTTCCTTATTTCAGGACAGTTTAGCCTTCATCTCTCCTGGGGATGAAGATGATGAGCTCATCATGTCTCCATAACAAGTGTGGAGAATAGCCAAGAATAAAGAAAGGTTAGATGATTTCTTATGTAGGGTAAATATTAAGCCCAAGTAATTATCACCAGCCATCAGCTGTGAAATAGCACTTAGACTATTTTTTGGGGATTTAATTGGCGTTTTGTGGCTTAATGTGTGCAAAACCTGACACATCTTGCTAAAAGATGACACACATTTGACTCCAGCAGTGTGGAAACTAGATATTTGAAGTTCCTTTCAGCCTGCCTTACATTCTGACATTTGAAAAATTACATATTAAAAAAGTGTATTAAATATTAATATTTATCTTCTGATGTTAAGCCCAGCATCAAAGCACAATGGGAATGCTTATGTGATGTTTGGAAATCTGAAGTCAAACATATGTCACTTCTTATCAGAATCTGGCAATGGGCTTTGACAGGAGAGTTGTCTTCAACAATCTGAGTTTCACAAAAGCTGGGGGTGAGAGGGGCGGGATTGCCTTGGGGTATCATGTGGTAAGCCCGAATTTTAGTGTTCAAGAAAAAAGTAATAAAGCATCTTCTCCAGAACTGAATCTTAGGCTATTAGTCTAACCGCTGTGCACACTCAGTGTGGCATTTCATCCCCTCCTTAGTGGTGGCTGGAGAGCCTGCTGCACGCTGGGGCTGGTGGATAGACACCCCATCCAGCTGCACATACTGCTTTTGCCTCCTGATAGGAGCTCAGTGTTTTCATACCATCTTAATTCCCTTCCCTACTAATCTACTATTTGGTGACCTTGTGTTTGTTTATTCTTCAGAATAAGCTCTGTAGGCCAAAGTGATTTGTCCAAGGTCACAAAGTGAGTCCATGGGACAGCCAGGAATAGAGTCCAGCCATGCTAATGGCGGGTCGTTTGTTCCAGTGCTGTGGTTAGTGGCTCCCAGACCAGGGCTACAACTCACATAAGGGCACAGCAGGTTGCCAGTGTAACAAAAATCTCATTACCTCTGACATTCACCTTCTTCTTTTGAGAGGCATAAGATTATCCTTCTGTAAGCTGCGTACTGGAAAAAGTCTGGAAATGATCAAGTTAGATGATGCTTTTTTCTCTTCCCTAACAGTCCCGATCTTTTATTCTGGAAGTTCCCTTCCTTTTATTCTGGGATGGAATCTGCCACTTTTTTAATCTTCTCTAAGTGAAAGCCTTAAAAAAAAACCTAAGCAAATTTATCTAATATTTTTAAATACACAAACCATTGGCAGATGCAACAGCAAAAAACCTGACTTTTCTGGTAATGGTCAAAACTGAAAATCCCTTAATATGCTAAAGTTCAGTATATGTTCATTTAGCATTATGTTCAAAGCCAAAATACACTATATTTCTCCTCTCTGGCATCTACCAAAGTAAATTATTTCTATAAGAGGAAGTTTTTTCTGGGCGTGGAAATGTATGTAGTCCCCTGAGTAGCAGTTTACACATTTGGAAATGAGAAGTGCTACCAAAATCATATTCTTCCCGTTTCACATCCACTTTGCATTCATTTTTGGAAATAAATGATTACCCAGGTAACTGTTTCTCCTTTCTATGTAAGCCGTTTTATGCGGGCCTGTGGAGACTTTAATTTAAATAAGGCAAGCCACAACTAGGAAGTTGTCCTAATAAGATCCTAAAGAATCAGGTCCTAATTTCCTAATGGCTACTTTTTTGCTTGATTTCATTACTTTATATTAATCCTCCTTGGGACAGGTGAATCTCCAGAGAACTGGAGTTTGAACAAGCCCAGCATCCAAAAATCAGATGCTTGTCCAAATTATTCAGACCTCAGAAGTATGCAAAACTGAGTGGAATGGTGATGAGAACATGTTTTCTCTGGAGGTTTCTCATTTCAGTACTGCCCAACACAGAAAAACAATCGGGGATTTTGCTGCATATTGACACTTTTAGTCTGAGTTTGACTGTAGAGGTGATCTCTCTCTTTCAAGCCCTGTCCTGATAAGTGCATAATTAAGAACCTCAAAAAAAGTTTAATTTTAATTTTGTTATTAGGTGCATCCTGTGTATCTCCTCTGCTTGTTACAGAGAACTTGGGTATTGTGCCTTAAGGGGGAAGAGTCTAATTTTACCAAAGTCCCTAGAGTATCGTATTATTCCACTAATGTTTTGCAGTAGGTTTTTCAATGGTTTAACTGTTTCAAAGCACTTAATCTAGTTGTTCTCGTCCCTGAAAGTTCTCATTACATCTTTCCTTGCTATTTATTTTGCATGGAGGTGATTCTTCCACATAGGGAAATCAAGCCTTAAAAGATGTGTATAGGTGAACAGACAGCAAAATTCACCTATCCACCTATCTGAGGCAGTAACAAAGAAGTTAGTGAAAAATCTGGTATTTAAGACTTAATATTATCAACTTCTCAAATTCTTTCCTGTGGAAGTTCTGAATGTGCAAACCCCGAAATATTATACCTGATCAACATACATTTTTCTGACAAGTAGCCATAGAGGGTGACAAAAGTGAGGACTATCACAATAAAGGGCATGTTTTGTTATTTCATTATTCATTTACTGTAGTGCCTATATGGGAAAAAAAAAAAATGGAGCAAACAGGGAGAGTCTGCTAAGGGGAATTTTCTTCCGTAAATCCATTGGTCATATATATCGATAGTAAACTCCTACATTGTGTTAACCAAAAGTAGGTCCACTCAGAATGGAAGAGGAGAAACAGCCCTAGAAAATCTTTCAAAGGCAGGTTAGCCAGTTCTATCCTGTTCAGTAGTTCTCTCTGTAAGAGTATTTTACATAGATATAGTCCATCTATTACATGAGCAAAGTCTAAACAGCTATTCTATGAGATAATTTAGGACGAATTTAGCCAAATTGTTCTTCCGTAAATGCTTTCTATGTAGTCATTCAAGAGGTTCTTCAGATTCTTTCCAAATTCATTGGTATAATGAGCATGAAGGCCTAAATTCATTCACTGAATCAGTACCTGAAAACTGTTGTCTGCTATTTCTCTTCTAAGCAAACACTTTCAACCTCAACACCGTTGTTCTGGATTCTTTCTTGCTGTTTGAATGGTTTGTTACAGCAATAAACAGGTAGTGCTTTGGATTTCTGATGAGTTGAAATTGCATTTATTGCACATAATGTTTTTTATAATACTTATACATATTAATGAATACAACAGAGGAATCTGTGAAACTTAGTTATGCGTTGACATTAAATTCAAGTTTAGACTAAGTGTAAACTGTGTTGCTTGGTAAAATTATGAATTGATATTCATCACCTGCTGTCCTAACTCTAAATTGAAACAGAAGAGATTCAGTAATTTTATACTTTTAGACAAGATTAAGCTATGTTTTTCTGTTAATCAAGTATATTACTATCACCTTTTAATAAAAAGCTTTGCTTTGAGCAGGGTACAGGGCAGAAAACATATTGCAGCTACCAAAGGAAATATGGTAAGTGATTACTTGTACTTTCTCTCCTGGGCAAGGTCCATGAATTTAAGGACTTTCTCATATTAATAAACAGAATTAACAGCCTGGAAATGGAATAGAGAAAATTTGTGTCTTTCCTTTCCACTTACCTTTGCCAGTTGTTCATGAATTTCTAATAAGCTTGGTCTGCTGAGTTTATTCCCACTGACACTGCCAGTGTTTCTATAATAATCAATTTTTGGAACTGGGTCCACTGTGTTATGGCCAAAAGTTTGTAGATAATACATTTTAGTGTGAGTATCATAGGGATGTAAACTAGCTTCTGTTTTCTCCCCATTTTGAAGGAAATTGTCGTATAATTCTCTTTTTCCTGGTCTGTAGCTAATTCTCAGTCTGTTATGTGCTCCGTCAGTAAAAGACGTTTCTTCATAATGTGGTGGGTCAGAGCCCACATCCTCTTGGGATGTTTCATTGTTGTCATGGCTTTCATTAATTATGTTAACTTGAAACCGATTTGCATTTGGATCCAAGAATACATTTGGCGAATTATTCATTGACATCTTCAGGGATACTGTAGACTTAGCTCACCGATCCGTTTACTCTTCTGTGACTGCAGCTAGTTAGTTGCAGCTACAGCAAAGGGTTTAGTGCGGTTGCATATGAAATCTTTGCTCTGAGAGTAACGAAGTTCTGAGAAATTTTTCTTGAAATCTCTAAGCAGTCTTCCTAATGTCCGTTGTGTTTCTGCCATAAAAAATATAAATAAAATATTTCTATTAACTGGCACGGTTAGATAAATTTTCCACCATAAGCTCTCCCCCATGAGACTGTCATCCTGTGACTTGTTGAGTAAAAAAATAGTTGAATCAAAAACTGAGTTTGTGGGGATATTTCCGTCTGTGATGGATTAGCTTGACCCCTTAACCAAACTGTGGTAGTTTGGTACAGGCTCCAGTGAGGTAAAGGCCTACGCTGCAAACGGGCCAAGAACTCCTCTAGGTTCAATCTGTTCTCTGAAAACCCACAAAGGAGCAGAGTGACACAGTGAGCATCGATGCATGAGCTTGGAACACCGATCATACGATTAACTCATGAATAGCGGGTGGCTTTTCCAAGACTCATTTATCAAAGAACAAAGAAAGTTGTGGGTACAAGGAGTCTCGTGTATACCTTTTCCATCGCATGTAATTTGACTACAAGCCAACCACTTTATGCCATAAATATGACACCCTAAGTGAGCCTTCTTTGAGCTTTCTCGGCTAATCAGCCTGGCTGCATGTCGGTGCTCTTCCCTTGAGCTGGGATGCCTCTCAAGGTTGCTCCTCGAGGCAGAGAGACCTTTCACCAACGGCAGATCTTTGGTGAGCAACCGATATTGTGCATAACCTTGTCGTGTGGTAACTTTGATTTTGTCTTGGTAACTTTGATTTGTGCCTTGGTAGTTTTGAATCATTGTTCAGATGATTGTGCCAAACAGTAATAGAGTGAACATTGCCATCAAACTTTAAGTCGCACTTTTATAACATCATATTAAAACCACTTTTGCTAATACCTCTGACAGTGATTCTTTAAACAATCTAAATCACCCATTCACGACAAATTGGTGTAGTCAGCAGAATCCTAAATCAGGATTCATGACACCATCTATATAAAATGGGCTTTGGATCAGATTCTAGGTACCTAAAATTGATTTTCAAGTATAGTATTTCTTTTAATAATGCAACGTTTAATTGAAGCCAGTGGAAGTGTAGGCAGTACAAAGGATGTGACACAAGATTCCATGAAGTCCATTTACTCTTTATGTTCCACTTAAGTATTATGATACCATGTATATTTCTCTCATAGTCTAGAATTAAATTGCATGAAAGGTTTGAATCAAATACATTTTTTTAAATTAACTACAAAAGCTAGGCCTTAAGTTTTCGATAGTTCCACAATGGTGACAATTTATGAGCAGGCAATTAAAATATAGCAAATAGTTCGTTTTTTATGTAAATAAGCTTAATGTAATATGAAGGAGAAATAGACAACTGAAAATCATCCAAAAATAGCACTGGGTTTCCTAAATTATAATGGAGGAAATAACTATAGTAAAGTAGTAATTATTAAGAAATATTAACAATAGTCCTAGGCATGGGAAAGTTCATAGAATTTTACACTCAGTTTTACATTTGTACACTCAAAACACACTTTAAGATGATTTGAAAGAAATTGTAGCAAGTCATAAAGTCACACGGGTTGGAAGGGACCTTGGGAGCTTATCTAGTCCAACCTCCTGCTCAAAGCAAAGGGAACACTGAATGTAAATCAGGTTACTTACGGCTTTCACCAGTCAGGTCTTGACATCCTCCAAGAACAGATTTCACAACCTGCCCTGTTAGCCTAATCTAATACTTAATTGTCCTCATAGTGGTTTTTTTTCACCTGTATATCCCGTTGGAACCTTCTGTGTGTCACTGTATGACCATCATCTCTCACTCTCCTGCTGTGCACCCCAGTAAAGAGCAGGGCTCTGCCTTGTCATTACCCTCCTCCTAAGTAGTGGCGGGGGGCTGCTTGGGTTCCCCTAATGCTTTTTCTTCTTCTGGTTAAACAAGCCCTGTGTTCTTATAGGCCAAATGTTCCTACCCTTGACCATCTCAGTGGCCGTCCGCTAGACACACACAAGTTTATCAACACCTTTCTTACATAGGCAGGTGGGAAGGACAGGTAGACAAACTCAGAAACTGGGTTCCTGGTGCAGTCTGATGAGTGTTGAACAGAGGGGAATGATCACTTTGCTTGATCTACTGGCTGTGGTCCTGTTAACACAGCCCAGGACACTGTTCACCTTCATTGCTCCCAGGGCATGGGGCTGGCTCCTCCGTAGCCTGCTGCTCACCAGGTCCCTTCCAGGAGAACTGCTCCCTGCCAGTGAGGCCCCAGCCTGCATGGTACAGGGATTTAGTCTCTCCAAGGTGCAGAATTTGTATTTGTCCTTGTTGAATGTCATGAGATTCCTGTTGGCCCATTCCTCTAGATTGTCTAGGTGCCTGAGTGGCAGCCCGTAGAGAGGTGAATATAAGATAAAGGTACAATCTGCTTCCCACCTCCACTTTCCTACACAGACCCCTTCAAAAAAAACCAGCTCCAAGCAAACAAAAACCCCAGGAGCAAAAGGGGTACTTATATTTAAGGTCTTTAGTGGGCTAAGTACCTTTGCAGCAACTTACAGGATGGCCTAGGTGGCCCTGAAATGAGCTACTGAAACAATGGCAATCCGTATGTCTTGAAACATACCTCTAAGGAGATAAGGGAGTGTGATCGTATAGACCTGTATAATTCAGTCCAAGTCTGTTCAAACTGACTAAACCAGACCATGCTTAGATATTGAAATTCTGCATATGTATGTAAAAGCAGAAAGTTTTAGAAACAAAATCTATCTATATAAAGGAATATATGAACTGAAAATCTGGGTAAATAAGCCCATTAGATGCATTTTTTAAAGTTTTGTGCTTTCACAAGAGGTTGGACTAGATAACCTCCAGAGATTTTTTCCAATTTAAATTTCTCAATGATTTTGTGAAATGTATTTGGCCCTTTAGCACTGACAGATAAAATACCACATCAATATTTATACCTTAGCAATGTAAAGTTTTTCTAAAATCACATATCAAAATTATAATTTGAAGAGCTGATAATCAGATGTTCTCCATCTTCAGTATGAGGTGTAGCTAAAGCATATTTTCTCACTTCTTCCATCAGCTATAGATAATATTCTGCTGTCACCTCTCTATTATGGTACCACTTTATAACCCCCTCATATTTATGTTGACTTTCCTGCTTAAAGTTTTGTAAGCCTCACAGCAACATGTTACATTTATTTAGTTTATTTTACTTCTACTGGGTTTGGATGATCAATGTTATTGTTGTTATTATTATTATTATTGCTACTACTACACATTTCTGTTCATAGATAGTATTCTACTTCCTTCAGTGTTTTAAAGTTGTAAGGAAGTGTTTCATCTTCAGGCATGAAGGAGCAAAACCAAACCTTTTGTCATTAAAGTCAGTGAAAGTAGGTTTGTTTCCATCTTCATGACTGAATGAAATCCTGATTCTTTGACGACAATGAGACTTTTGCTACTGAGTAAAATGATTCTGTAATTTCACTGTCTTATTTCCATAATATTACTATTTTGCTAGGAAATGAAATGTCTCTTACCTTTCTGCTGTTCTTGAAAATAACACTTTGATTTTCACGGTGTATTTCCAGAGGTTTCTCAACTGTTATTTGCCATTAATTTTGTATTTAGTATTCTAGCATCACTCATAAATAATCAAGTTTACCTTATTTAGAATAATTTAACTTACCATTCAATCCTGTGTTTTTAGGGAAGGACAATCTGCCTCTTTTATTCATGCACATAGTGTGTCCCTCTCTTTGAGGCATTACAGACTCTGCCTTATTGGCCAGATTTTTCTCCTGCTTAATATACTGAATAGACCATCCAATCCCTCTCTTTCAAAACATTTCTAGATGGTGATTTAGAGAAGAATTCTAGCTTGTTAACTATTAACCAGCAAATGTACCTATCCATTACAATTACTGGGTTTATGGTATTGCAAAATTTCTGAGGGGGCCTGAAAAATACTTTTGTTATCTCCATTTCCCTCCCAGCTATGCCTGATTCTGTGCACAGATCATGATCTCTCATTTTTCAGTTCTGCATATATAGTAACAGAGATAACAAGAGTTCACGCTTTTGCTCAGTGCATTTTATGCAGAAGAGATTCCAATGAAGTCAGCAGGATGGGTCATTGATGGGTCCCCTTGTCCTACCTGCATTTTTTGAACCATTTGCTCCTATCCCCATTCAAAGTTTTAAGGAAAACCTTTGAAAAAATATGTTCTGTATATTCTTTCTGGGAAGATTGACTCCCTTGTCTTTTGGGGGTGCAGAGAAGGGTGGGCAGGAAATAATGATGAAGCTTTGTAATTATAAGGAAATTTGATAGTTGCTTTGAATAATAGATTGGGTCAAGAACAAGAGCAGTAAGACAGTATTGGGGTTCTTTGGGTATGTTTGCTGTGTAGTTTAGAGATAACTGAACTATATTTAACCCAGATAACTTAAGTACCTTCAGCACTCTAACCTGACAGCACAGAGCTCAGCTGTGCTGATTAGGTGTACATAAAAAGAATGGCAGTGTCAGGTCTCGGCAGTGGATTATCCCATCCAGCAATAACAGATCACATGAATCAGTGTACTGATATCTACCTTTGATTTTGTGGTTAAATTAACTAGGATAAATGCAATACACTCACTCTCTGAGGGTCTGGCATCTTTTCTTATGCAGGATCTGAAGCTGTTTAAAAGCTCTTACATTCACAAAATTGTTTATGTTTTATAATTTCAAATGGACCAGTGTAGATCAATGTTGGCTGTTCCTCTGTTATATACTTCAGACAGGAGAGTCATGTCCTTTCCTGTACAATCAAGTATTTCATGTTCCAAATGGCACTTCAGGTCTGCCGTTCCACTGGCTGCCTCTGCCTAGGATATAGGGCAAAAGGGAC